GTGCCTCTTGAAAAAGTCTCTTTATGGATTAAAACAGTCACCTAGACTGTGGAACAAGAGGTTTAATAAATTCATGATGGAGCAAAAGTTCTTGAGGAGTGAGCGGGACACTTGTGTTTATGTGAAGAAAGTTGATCAAGGCTTTGTGTATCTATTGTTGTATGTTGACGGCATGTTGTTGGCGGCAAAAGAAATGACAGAGATTGAGAAGCTGAAGAAAGTGTTGAGCTCAGAGTTTGAAATGAAGGATTTGGGTGCAGCGAGTAGGATTTTGGGTATTGATATCAAGAGAGACAGAAAAGAGGGTGTTCTGTGGTTGTCTCAGTCAGGTTATTTGGGCAAGGTTATCAAGAGATTCAATATGGCTGAGGCTAAGACAGTGAATACACCAATGGGAGGACATTTTAAGCTATCTGCAGTAAGTGACGCTTCAGAATGTGTTGATACAGAAAAGGTTCCATACTCAAGCGCAGTGGGAAGTCTCATGTATGCAATGGTGGGAACAAGACCAGATTTGGCTTATGCGATTGGTTTGGTCAGCAGGTTTATGAGTAAGCCTGGGAGTATACATTGGGAAGCAGTCAAATGGTTGCTCAGATATGTTAAAAGGTCTTCTGATCTGAGTCTAGTTTTCAGAAGAAACAAAGATTTCAGAGTTCAAGGTTATTGTGATTCAGATTTTGCTGGGGATTTGGACAGGAAAAGGTTGACAAGTGGTTATGTGTTCACTGTAGGAGGTAACACGTGAGCTGGAGGTCTGGTTTGCAACAGATTACAGCATTATCAACTACTGAAGCTGAATATATAGCATTGACTGAGCTGTAAAGAAGCAATCTGGATCAAAGGACTTGTTAAAGATATGGGATTTGAAGAAGAGAAGGCTACAATTTGGTGTGATTCACAATCTGCTATATGTTTGTCAAAGAACAGTACATTTCATGAAAGAACAAAACATATAGCAGTGAAGTATCACTTCATCAGAGACATCATTGAAGAAGGGGAAGTAGCTGTTGAGAAGATAGATACTTCAGAAAATCCTGCGGATATTCTAACCAAGACTGTCCCTGTTAACAAGTTTGTTGCAGCTTTAGAGCTTCTAAGGCTGATCAACTGAGGATGAAGCATTATCCTGCCGGAGGTTAAATCCTAAGTATGTGCAGTATATTGTGTGGAGAGGAAACTTGAATCAAGGTGGAGAATGTTATAGCTGAAGCTCGTGTGATTCAATTTCAGGAAGATTTCGGTTTTGCAATCTGATTGGAATTGAGAGAGCTGGTTATTGCCGGTTGAATTGAAGCGGTTTGCGGAGACGAAACGGTGCGTTTTGAGGAAGACAAGAGCTAATGAGAAGCCTCTGATCGAAACAGAGTCTTTCTCCTGTTTGGCTATAAATACTCTTTCTCGTCTTCTTCTTAGCGTGTGAGAGACGAACATTTGAGAGTTTGTATCGAGTTGTTGCTCTGTGTTCTTGAGCTGTACTCTTCTCCATCAATATATTGCCAGGACTGATCCGGCCTCAGACGTAGGTTTTACTATCACACCGATAGGCCGAACTGGGTTAAAAAAGCTTTGTGTGCTCCCTTTTACTTTCTTGCTCTGTTTCTATTCATCTCTGTTCTTAAACAAACGAGTGACGTAGAACTGTAAGCTTGTCTCCATTAATCTGGCATAAATATTTAGCAAATCGCACTCGCTGGGACTCGAAACCCAGACCTCCTAGTGTAGAAACATTAAATCCTTTAATCAACCACTAGGCTAAGGGGCTTCCACAATGTAACAGACTTCTGTGACAGGTATGTGATCTTTCAAACTTGCTTGTAATTAGTTCGTGAAATTCATAAGTAGGAGAAACATATTTGAAGTAAAGGCTAATTTTGATATCCATTGGACAAGTGCTTGAATAAGCATCTAAAATTCTAGGAGATTAAAAGTGTTAACATACTTCTGTAACAGTTTGAATTATAAAGACTAATACTGATTTTCTCAGGTAATTTCTTCTACAAATGAGATTTCTTAGTGTACCAAAATTTTGTGATCGGGTATATGCTTCTCTGGAATTTTCATTGATAAATTGATATTACATATATGAATGTCAGTAAATTTTGTAATCATGTATATGCTTCTCTAGACTTTTCTATGATAAAGTAGATTTTACTTTTGGTATTGGTACGTTATATATTAGTGTTAAAATTGTCAGTAATATCTCTTTTGATTATGAAATACTTATTATCTCTGTGTTAGGTGCTTTTATGCATTATAAGTTATCTCATTTTCTGAAATGGATACATTTTGGAATGCCTGCATGTAAGCATGAATCTTACATATGATCGTAGAGATTTCCTGATTGTTGTAAAAACTTTCCTTGAATCTTGAATGTATTTGCTTTGTGTTGTGCTCTAAACCCACCCTTGGTGATCGTTCTAAACATGCATAGTGACACCCTCACGATCTTAAAGTTAAATTTGGTTGTTATCTGAGCACCTCTCTAGCTTTCTTCATCATTCTGCTTACTATATTGAGGATTTTGTGTTAGTTTTATAAATTGTTTGTTGACTGGAGTTTTTAGATTACAGTGATTGAAAAATATCTTCCTTATGACTAGTTCCTGTCATTTGACGTCCTTGTATTAATTTTGAATGTCCGATGGATCTTTCTTGATTTTCCTACCATTGTTATTTCTTTTAGGTGCTGATTGGTTCACCGCTGCTACCCGCAAACGCTGCGTTTGGGTAGTAGCGGTTATTGGCGTTTGACAACAATCACCACAAACGCTTTATACCGCTTTAAACCGCTCAAGATCCCTCAACAACCCTCAAAATCAAAAGCTCCTTCCCAGCAGCGTTTGCGGTTGCGGGCGGTTGCGGGTGGATAATTAAAAAAAAAAAAAAACACAAACTTATATAAAATCCGAAAATAAATAATAATATTTATTAAAAAATAAGATTTGGATAATAAAATCACAATATAAATAAAAAATTAGTACTTTTAGTCAATATTCATTAAAATCATATCATACTTATATATTTATAAGTTCTACAAATCAAAATTCTCTTGATAAATATTCTTTTCATACTAATACATATATATCTAATAAATAAAATTGTAATATAAATTTAATTTTCACATTAAATATATATTTTGAAAATAAAATCACATTTTTTATTTAAATTATAGAAATTAAAAAATAGACGTAAGTATTATACACATATTATTCTTTATAAAAAAATATTTTTAATTATGTTGAACCATAAATTTAAAATTTTCATTATAATATAGTTTTGATATTTTTATAATTATATAATGTGTTTATATTATTAATTTATTGTTTAACCGCTATTGCATCCGCAAGTGAACCAGTCATAAGTATCCCGCAAACGCATCCATTTTCAATTGTTATGCCAGTCGTACAAACCGCTTAATAACGCTACTAATCACAACCGCCCGCTTCCGCAAACTCCCGCACCCGCAACCGCAACCGCAGCGGTTAGTAACAAAATGTATAGTTGGTGTTAAATTCTCGATTTTAACACTATCCGAATTCCAATATTATTATCACCATTGTAGGCATTTGTAACAGGTGCTCTGATCTGCTCTTATCTTTAGGTGGACTAACTATATTATGTAGTTTAATATAATACCTGTTAGACTTAGAACTTCTTTGCTCTAGAGTCTACAAAATCCGGTTGTTATCAGGCAAAGAGTAATGCATTGAGTTGCTATTATAGAACACTAAAGGGTTTGGTTGATATACCATCTTCTATTTCTTCTTTCGCTTTGTGTTAACAGAATATGGCAAGTTCACTCACAATACACAATTGTCTATTGTTGCTCATTCTTTTTTAAGACATATTACGATCTTCATTTTCATTGTCTATTCGTCATTCTTCGTACATTTAGATGAAACCATTTTTAATTTTTCTTCTCAATTCTTGAGATAATTAGTGTGGTAAGCTTTTTGGAGATAATATTTTTGTATGTTGATGCTAGGTTAGACCCAATTAAGGGTCTATCTATGTCTATGCTTGGTATGGGATCTAGTAATAACCAATCCAAAACATAGACCCCCAAAATTTTGCCTAACTAAATTAGGTGTTGAGTGTGTTTTTTTTTTTATAAAGTGGTATTGAGTGTTACGCAAGCACTTGGTAAAGGTTGTCGTCTCTTACGTTTAAAACATAAATTTATGTTTATCATTTTCATCAGCACAATACATTACTTGAATCTTTCATTCATACGGTCATCATATACCAAATTTTTTTTTATACCCATCAATATATTGATTAAGAACCATTAACAATTTCTAGGGTTGAAATTCTCTTTGGATAAAACAAAATTAAATCATGTTAAATAACAAGGCTAAAAGTGCAGTGCCCGCCGAAGTGTCAACTGTGAGTAAGAAAAGTGTTGTATCCGAATGTGTTCGGATAACTGTACAAGATCAAATAAATGATCGAGAAGTTTGAGCTAGGTCGAGCTAAACTGACTGAGATGATTATTTCGGTCAAGACAGCCGGTCAGTTATCGAGCTGGTGTCGGGTTCGGACAGGATGGTTACTGGTCCGAACATAGCTGAATTTAGTCGAGGAAACTATTATCTGGTCGATAATAATCGACTAAGTCATTAGAGCGGGAACGGTTATCGAACGAGGACGCGAATGCACGTAAAAATGCGCGGGAACGGTTACTTGGAGAATCCGCCTATGCGCGATCGAATAGAAACGCTGGAACGGTTATTCTATCGATCAAAAAGGTGTGCAAGTAATTTAAATGACGTTTATTGGGCAGTTCGGGAGAAGACACATAAAATGATCGTTTCGGGGGAAGGGAGTCAAGTTTTGTCAGAACAGAAAATGAAGGAGAAAATCTGATCGGGAGGTTGGAACCGAGAGTCTGATAGGAAGATCCAGTGTGGATCGAGAGTCTGTCGTCTCAGTTACCGCGGAGATCGAGTAACACCATAAAGGAAACCGTTATGTCAAGACAGAATATGTTTTGTAGAAATGAGCGGTAATCGAGTGAAGCCGAGTTTCTATTTAGAGGATCCGATGGAAAGAGTCGGACTGAGAGTATGTTACGACGATCCAGTGATCCGTCGAGAGAATGTCGACTGGGAGCGTGTTCGCTCGGCCGTGATTGAGTATATGGTATTGGAATCGGGAACCATCGTATGGTAACCGTTTCACCAAAGAGAAAACAATTGCATGATATGCGAGAAGGATGTATAACTGATCTTTGGAGGATCAGAACTGGACGGAGCGGATCATGGGATGATCGACTGGGAATAGAGAATGGTCGATGGAATCATCTACAACTTATTGGGAAAAGTCTGACCAGAGTGGATCGTGAACCTACAGGAAAAGAAAGGAGCGTGCGGATCAAAGAGAGATCGTATGCACCATAAATGGACCGAGAGGCGACCCAGAGTGGACGACCTCGCCTTACTGAGAGCCAGAAGACCACATTCGAGATATATTTAGTTTGTGGGGATGGTTGATTGTATGATTGAGTTAGTTCAAGGGTGGTGTATCGAACGTGGATCATTGGTGGACCGAGATCGGCAGAATGGCCGAGATATGATCATGAATCCGTACTGGAGCTGTCGAATATTGCATAGATCTAAGTTAGAACGATCTAGGGGAATGGAACGGAATATGCATCGGTTGCATGACTTGAACCGTGTCTGCGGTCGATTTGTAAACTAAGGAAGTCGTGTAGACCGTACGAAGGTAAAGATGATATGACCGACAAGTTCTTAGTTGGATTTAAAGTCGAAGACCATATAATCTGTCTGATGTGTGTTAATTATACTGTTTGATGTGACTGGCTATCATGCTTTAGGAAATGTTTATGCATGGAAATGGCTTTTAGCCAAGAGGTTCGGCAGGGAATAAAGGGCCGAATCTGAGTCCCTGCGACCCCGACTGAGGAAAACCGGGTCAGGGTGTTTCAAAAAGCCTATATATATTAACGCTAAGTACCCCATGTAGCTTGTTTAGTCTTTATGGAATTAACAATCTTTACAAGTCCTTGGAAATCCGAGAGAACATGGAGTTCTCTGATTCTTCTTGACGCGGTTGGTGTGGGAAAAAATATTACTGTTTTGATTATGTAGAGAACAAAAATGGTCAACTAGGTAAGTTGAACAAAAATGTTTTTGGTAGGAGTTGATGACATAACTAAGTTGGCCTTACCACTCTCTTAGTATCTTCTTGCTATACATCTTTAGTTAAGCTTGATTAGACACTAGCATCACATGATCTATCCTTCAGGTCAAAGATGTTTTGTTAGATGTTTCTAGAGCGAGGGAAGAGTTTGTAAAGAGAAGATCCAAAAAGAAGATGACAATTCAAGAAAACATGAATTACTTAATTCCTTATGCCCTCAGAGATTTCACAAGTCGAGATGGTCTGACGAGAGCACGATTGAGTATGTTGTTGAACCGGATGTAGCATCAATATTATTTCGAGATACAAAGGTTGTGAGTTATGGTTTCTTGGAAAATAGTCTTTATTAAACTTGGAAAATTGAAAAGGGATTACAAAGAAATTTCCTCTCGGTGACATGTTTGCCGAGATGGATCAAAAGAGGAAAATAAACTAAAAACAAATGACGAATTATTGCTAGTGTTTTGCCTTTCTGCTCTAAACTGTTTATGGGTTACTCTCCATCCGATTGGATGAATTTATAGATAGATGGTCTTCAATGAATGAGGATTTGGGTAGGTGTGAATCTCTTACTTCTTTATCTATATAGGAAATATTCTCTTTGTAATTATTTCCTTCGATTCTTCAAGGAGGTTTTATCTGTATTTCCCTTGATTTGTCTTTATCGTCAAGAGTTTACATTTCCTTTGAGGAGGTTGAGGTAAAAAACAGGTTGGACTTGCACGTTATTATTAACTAGGTGGTTGGCCCGCACCTTGTGCGGGCATAACATTTTTAAAATAATAAATTTAATCAAATATTTAATTACATAAGTATTACTCCCTCTATCTTAATGTTCGAGGCACCACGTTAACTCTCAGCTGGTTGATTACCCAGCTACCCTTAATGAAAATTCTTTTCAAAAATCTTCGTTATTTCCTTCTTTTTTTTTAAATGTCACGATTTATATTTCTAATTAAAATATTTAACGATAATAATAATCCTAATTACCATATTGCACGCCACAATTATGTAAAAATTAAAAAATTGGAAAGAACAAAAAAAAGGAAAACCTAGATTTCTTAACCGACTATGTCTTATATAAATAGATAGCAATAATGAAAATCAAAACAATCCACGATTCTTCAACCTAGAGGTGAGATAATTTCTTCGAGTCCATATCTCATCTTTTATCATGTAAGTTATTTGTTTTTAATTTGATCTTACTGTTATTAGCTATTATGATGATTAACTGATTATTCATTATTTGTTGTAAATTTTACTGAAGGATTCCATCTAACATCTTTTTCTTCAACTTTCCTTACAGTATATTAAGGTTTGCTAGATAATGGAAACAAGAAGCTCAAATATGGTACATCTTTACTTTTTTAAAAAAACTTGGATCTCATGAAACCCTAATTCGACTAAGCGGCTCTTAAAGGATTTTCAATATTCGTTTAAGATCCATCATATTAGCGTTATATTTGTAGAGAGAGACGACATATGTTATGGTGCATAGAGAGAGAGCCTTTCAAAGTCAGAAAACGAGAAGAGCAGTTCTTGATGAAAGAGCTTCCAATTCTATGTAATCCTCACTGGAAACTTGAATTTATCTCTTTTTTTGATAAATTGTTTCACGGATTTTGTAACTTAGGTCACATTCAATGGGCTTCCGTTGTCTTGAGTTGCAAGCTTTGAAGTTTTATGTGAGAATATTGTTGATTTGATTCCCGTCAAAGTCTGGGATATCTTTATGAAGATGTTAGCTCCTCAATTTCATACAATGAGGCCATCCATGGTTAAAGGATTGAAATGATGCAAAGGTTTAGTTGGATATTATGGTTTTCAAGCTTGAGAGCTTATTTACAATCATTGTCTATTCACAAAGTTGCTTAATGGTAAGTGGATCAGTTTTAGTATTTCTACTTAGTCGGGCGTTTCCTTTTTTTCTTACCGTAGACAAACTGTATTATCTGAGGGAGCTGTTTGCTTTACCAGAACCTAGGAAGACCGTAGAATATCAAATCGGTGAGTTTTCTATCTTCCATCGTGTTAAAAACTTAAGTTTTAGTTTCTTAGTTTCTGGTTTTTTTGGTTATTAGCAAAAAGAAAATTTAGTTTCTTGTGGGCTTTGGTTGATAATCATGACATTGTTGTTGAAATTATGATTACAAAACAGAGTAAGAGAAGAATAGAGACAAAACAGAGCAAGAGACAAGAGTTTGTCTCTTCTCTTATGAAGAAGAAGAATGTAACGAAATAGAACTCTCTTTATTGATCTGAAACTTGATAACAGTTACATCACGTGTTACATCATGGTTATATACTAAGACAAAACACATCGAAGAGTTGTGTCTCTTCCTCTTGTGTGTGAACCAATCTAACCAAGAGTTGCAACTTTACTAACACCGTTTGATACACACATATGCTAACTTAGGACTAAACTCAAATAATTCCAACAATTGTTTGGAACTTTCTTTGTTAGGCTTTGAAGAAAATGGCATCAGACGCAATGAATGATTGGCATATACCTGAATTCTTAGCACAAGTAAGAACCTTAAATTTCACAAACTAATGTTTGAAACACAGGATTTGACTTTTTCTTTTCTGGATTATCTATATAGCTAAGTGCTCTTCAATATAGAAAAATAGATTTTGAAGAATTTTGTGCAGCAGGTACTGAGTGTTCATCAGCCAGAATCTCTTGATCGATGGGAAGTAGCTCACTGGTCAGTCTCATTGATCAGTTACAAACAACTTCTTTATCTGTAACGGTAATTATATTGTAAAGTTATTTTTTTCCTTGGGAAGCTAGCCAAGATTTGTTGTTCGATGAGGCATTAGCTAAATGTCCTTTATGTGATTTTTTATTTATTTATTTACAACAAGGATTCAAGGGTTACTATATATGTGGAGCTGGGATTACTGAGTGGTACATATGCGTTTTATCACCAACCATATTCCATCATAAACTCTATTTGATGTAAGCTTCCAGATTAACAAATCTAATCCCTCAAGCCTCCGTTTTCAGAATTTTTAGGTATACAGTATTAGTTATTTTGATTTTGTTAATTAAGAATAGAAGTCGACTTAAAAAAGTTCAAATAAACCATTCACGAGAATGGTGATTTCTTTTATGGGTTGTCTCACGAGAACACATGTAACGTAGCCTGACTTTGGTGGATCTCATTCATTTTATCTCTTATTGTTTCAATTCAATATTGTGAATTCCATATGTCGATCTCTTGTTTTTTTCTTCTTTGAGAAGACCTTGATTTTTGGCTGTAAATTCCTCTTGGCAGCGGGTAATCACTAATCAGGAGGCGCTCGGCCCCAACGCTATTGCACTAAACATTGATCGTTGATTGCATGTTCAGATTGGTGATGATTGTCGGAAAATCGCGACAGACTTGAACACAATGATTACTTCTGTCCGAAGAACTTGGTAACTGGTAACAAAGTTTAGTTGGTTACTTATCAAACAGTTTCTTCGGCCTATATTTACTAATAGAGTTTTTTTTTGTAACTCAGAAACACAAAAAGAACAATGAGAACCCTTAGATTTGGTGAACAGGCTAAATCCATGGGAAACAAACGAGTGATAAATGAGATATTCGAAGAGATGTGAATGATTTGAGTGACCAGATTCGTTTTCTCTTCCACCACAGCCCATTTTCTTTTTTTTTGTCTTTCGGTTTTCAAGTTGGCTATCATTCAAAGATCATTTACCATATGCTTTGCAGGAAGAGCTTATAAGAGCCGAAACTGATGTTTGTCATTATGTTGGAAGTAAACTAAAACTGATTATTTCAGAGCAACAAATACACGAAAAAATTGAATCAACAAAGAGTTAGTCTTAACCACTCTTTATTGCTGCCAAAATTTGATATTGACGAAGAATAGATATAATAAAACAGTTGATGAGGATGACAACTCCAAAAAAGTCAAATTTTGATACTGGTGACTGGTGAGAAGGAGGCATTACTCGAAGAAATTGGAGATCTGGAAAGCAAGTTGCAGACGCCAAATAACCATGTCCACCAACGAACTGAGATCATCTTTGTTGACCCTTTCGTTTCAGCTATGTAACAAGAATTTTGAGAAAGCTATCAAAGAAGAAACACTTAGGTACACCGAAATGGAAAGCAAGTGGATATCGACGTGTTAATTGAATATATATTTCGTGGGTTATTGATTGTGTGTGTTGGTGAAACTATATTTATAACTTGGATTCAATCATAGATTGAAGAAGCAAAGTATAATACCCGAAAAGATGGATTTAGATAAAAAAAACACATATAATGAAGAAGAAGAACATAATAAGGAAAATTTGAAAGAAGAAAATCGGAGGATAAATAAGACGAAAGTAAAGTACGAGAAGATAAAGACAAAGAAAACCAGAAAATTAAGATATTACACAAATAAAATAAAGAAGATGAAAGAACTACAACTGAAAAAAAATAGCAAAAAT